TTCAAAAATTTAACAAAATTCAACAAAAGTTAAACTAATATTTCTATTATTTAACCTGAAAAATAAATTAGGCCCATTCCTACTACTAACAACATGAAAAGTGGACAGGAATTCACAGGTAAGTTCTCGGTATGTAGGATAGTGCATGTCAACAAATTTTCTCATGCCAATGTCATTCAAAAATCGTTTAACAAAATCATATAAACCAAATGATTCTAAGGTAGGGCGGTGTAACCACCGAGAAGGAATTACCTCACGATCGACCAAATGCTCCAATCGTTCCTTTTGTTCCCGGCTCACAATCCGGATCGTCGGCCAATACAGGAGTTGCAAGTCCGGGTCGTATTCCTCCCTCGAACTGGAGCTCCTACCAAAAATGGACCTAGCTCTTTTTGAAGCCATGTTGAAGAAATGGGTTGAAAATTTATTGAATTAAAACTGAAATTTTTTTATATGAAAGAGAAGAGGGTGAAGAGAGGATCACAAATATGTAAAGAGTTTTGAATTTGGGTTGGTAATGGAGGAGAAATCTTAGAGAGAAGTTACAGAAAATTTGAGTTTTAGAGAGAGAGAGTAATGAAGGAAAGAAGAAATGGAGAAAGAAAGAAGAAAAGGGGGAAGAAGAAGACGCGGATGTGCTCGCGCCCGGTCGGGCGGTGGGTCGCCCGTTCGGGCGATCTGTGCTATTTTGTGAGTTCGTTCTCGCGCCCGGTCGGGCGTACGTAGCCTGGTCGGGCGTACGTGGCCCGATCGGGCGTACGTAGCCCGGTCTGGCGATCTTATACGCATTGATTCGTAACCTTTGGCGCCCGGTCGGGCGCCACTCGCCCGGTCGGGCGATCTAATAACTTTAATTCTTCTTGCTCTCACGCCCGGTCGGGCGCCAGTCACCCGATCGGGCGATTTTTTAATCCAAAATTTTCGCCCTTCTAGCGCCTGGTCGGGCAAGGCTTGCTTGATTAGGCGGACAAATTAGTCCGTATACGACAAATTTCGCGCCCGGTCGGGCGCCACTCGCTTGGTCGGGTGAAATTACTTTATTTTTGAACCTTGCTCTCGATATTTTCTTCTTTTCTCCAAAATTTGGCTAACTCTTTCCTTCAAACCTGTACAAACACTTATAAAACTTATTAAATTCCCTCATTTCTCCTCTCATAAGAAAAAGAAAAGAAAAACTAGTCTAAAAAGCATTAAAAATACGGGTTGCCTCCCGCAAAGTGCTGTTTTATCTAGGTCCCGCACGACCTTCTTACCAAGTACAATTTCTAGGACCCTTGGCCTAACGCTTGATCAGGTGGTTTCTCACCCGGTCTAGCGATGTTTAAGCTGCGATGCAGCTTCCTGACATAACCTGTGGGACTTTAAGTCGCCTTATCTGGTGGATCCTCCTTGTCTTGGACTGGGGGTTCTTCAATGTTACGCACTAAAAACCCTTTTTCAATCGAATGTTGCTTCAAATTGTCATTGCGTTCAACACTTGCAACTCGATCTGGCGGAACACTTACTGTAGGCTCGATTTGCACAACTTGCTCGATCGGTTCCACTTGTTCATCCTCGAAACCAAGACCAACATTGTAGAGTGCTTTTTCTATTGCATCAACTTCCTTCTGCCATTTGTCTATCTCATCTGAAAAAGATGCAACACAAGATACCGCCTCCAAGGGATCTTTTTCAAGAGCTTGGGGCTTGTTAGAATAATTTACAACCACATTAACACTGAAACATTTCTCCTCAATCATGGAGCTTTTAGGGGCATTATTTAGATTAAAAACAACTTTATCATCCCCTACTGATAGTGTTAACTTACCACTTCTTACATCTATGACTGCTCGTGCAGTGTTAAGGATTGGTCTACCCAAAATAATTGGGGTTTGCATATCCTCAGCCATATCAAGAACAACAAAATCTAAAGGTATATAAAATTTACCTACTCTAACGGGGACATCCTCTAAAACACCTAAGGGGTATTTGAAAGAACGCTCGGCCATTTGTAGAGTTATATTAGTAGCTTTTAATTTACCCATATTCAACTTAGAACATACAGATAATGGCATGACGCTAACACTAGCACCCAAATCACATAATGCATTATCAATCAAGATATTGCAAATATGACAAGGGATAGAAAACTACCCGGATCTTTTAATTTCGGTGGAGACTTATTTTGAAGTACGACACTACACTCTGCAGTGAAAGCTACTGTCTCTACCTCACTAATAGACCTTTTTCTCGTCAAAATTTCTTTCATAAATTTTGCATATGAGGGGATTTGTGTGATCAATTCAGTAAAGGGAACTGTTACCTTCAAATCTTTAACCACCTCCAGGAACTTACCAAACTGCTTATCCAAGTTTGACTTCAATTGACGATTGGGGAAAGGAAGTTTGACGATTGGCTTTGGAGCATTCTTATTCTTGTCTGGAGTAGCCACCTTCTTTGGAGTTGTACCCAGTAATTTAGAGTTAGATATGTTAGCATTATCCGTTAGCCTTGCAGGGCTATCAACTACATTGTTTAGTTTAATGGAATCAAGATTAGCATTATTTGGTAAAACAGGTTCATCAACTCTGGGCATAGAGGGCCCTTCATAGTTCGAACCACTCCTTAGAGTAATTGCAAATGCTTGATCCGTAGGCCTTGTAGGCTGTGCCGGCAAGGGTCCCTGTTGGCGACCTTGTAAAGTAGCGGAGAGTTGCGCAATTTGATTATCTACAATTTTATTATGCGCTAAAATTTGATCAATTGTCGCATCTCTGCTCTCCATGTGCTTTTGCATATTGACCAACATTGCTACAATTTCCGCCAGAGAAGGGTCGGAAGATGAGGAGGGTTGTTGTGGTTGGTTCTTCTGGCTAACATTGGGATGATAATATTTCTGCTGCTGTTGCTGTGGCGCCTGTGGTTCTTGTGGTGGTGGATTTTGAATATTAGTGCTCCGGTAGGAAAGGTATGGATGATTCCGATACCTAGGATTGTAAGTGTTGGAGTATGGGTTATTCTGCCTATAAGCTTGGAAGGCATTAACTTGCTCCACGGAACTCCTGCAATTCTGCTCCCAATGACCTACAATACCACAATTTTCACAGAAAGCCTCATTAGAATTATTATTAATCGCAGAAACATTAGCTACATTAGCAGTGCTCAGGTTATCTAATTTTTGGCAAATAGAGGTTAATTGAGCTTGCAAAAAGGATACAGAGTCGACACTATGCTTCCCCTTGTTAGAAAATCCTCTAGGATTCCCATGTTGGGAATTGTGTATCTCCATATCTTCAATAACCTGACCTGCATCATCAACATTAAGATTCATAAATCTCCCACTAGCTGTAGAGTCTAAAATTATTCTAGAGGAATTTCCAATGCCGTTATAAAAGGCTTGGATTAACTGCCATTGTGCTAAATTATGGTGAGGGCATTCTCTTTGTAAGTCCTTGAACCTCTCCCAAGCCTCATATAAAGACTCATCGGCTTCTTGGGCAAAGTTCTGAATCGCATTCCGTAGTACTGCTGTTCTCTCTGCAGGATAATACTTGTTATAGAAATTCATAACAAGAGTTTCCCAGTCAGTTATACCAAGTGTAATTCTATTTAATCCATTAAACCACAATTTAGCTTTTCCAGTTAAAGAGAAAGGAAAGAGAATCTCCCTGATTTGGTCTTGAGTGACCCCGGCTTGCCTGATGGTGTTGCAATATTGACAATAGTCGGCAATGTGAAGATTTGGGTCTTCACCCTTGGCTCCACTGAATTGCTTCCTCTCTATCATCGTTATAAATTGAGGTTTGATTTCAAATTGAACCCCATCAAGAGCCGGAGTAGGGGTGAGATGTGGAAAATCCGTAAGCTTTGGTTGTGAATAATCACTAAGCTTCTTTGGAGCCGTCATCTCTGATTCTGCGTCTGATGATGCCACTAAATCGCTGGAATCAGTTGGAGGGTCGCGGTGATTATTGTTATTATCACCAGAATCCGCTAGGATTTGCTTGTAGAAGTTTTTCTGTCTATGGAAGGAACGTTCGATCTCAGGATCGAATGGGATGTAACCTGATTTGGAACACCTGGGCATAAACAAAAAAAAAAAAACTAGAAGCAAATGTGAGACTTGTCTCATAGAACTAACGCTCTCTGAGACAAAAGGGGAAATAATCTAGACTACAAAAACAATCAGAAATAAAAATAAAACCGTTCCCCGACAACGGCGCTAAATTTTGACAAGGTAAAGTCGTGTCCCCTAATCAAAAGTAAATACCTAAATCCTCTAACTAAAGTAGAAAGGGAAGTAGGCTCGATCTCCACAGGGAAACAAGTCTTTTTACTCCTAATTAATTAATCTAAGTAACCGATATTTATATTTGAGTATGAAACTAAACTACAAAGAATAGGAATAGGGAGAAAACAATATAAAAAAGGATCTAGGGCATAGGTTCACCAATAAATAATACTTCAGGGTAAAACATAGTAATCAATCATTGACATTGCATAAATAACATGATTAACAGGCTCTCCCAATTTATTAATCAACATAGATCTAACAGGCTCTCGCAATTTACTAGATCTAAGTTCTTATTGAAAATAGCCTTTAATATCAAAATAAGATCTGCTCGATTCATCAATTTAATATTGCTATACTTTTACAAGCCGCAATTGTAAAACATTAAGGGGATGTTTGGTATGGGTTTTTGATAGAGTTCGAAACGGAATCTGTTACCGTTTCCTTTACATTGTGTTTGTTTAATGGGTAAAGAAACAAAAACCGTTTCTTGGCTCTAACCCTTTCCATCATTTTGTTTCCAGAGGAAAGCAAAGGGAAACAAATACCTTTCCTTACTGTAACAAAAGAAAACAAAGTTTTCTCTCTCCTCTCTCCTCTCATCCAACCCTTCTCCTGAGAATTCCCAACCTCCTTCGACATTTTTTCTGAAAATTTTCCTATGAAAATTGCAATTCTCCTGATTTCGCTGCAAAATTTTCAATTTTCTACCTAAAATCTACATAAATCTACAATCTCAAGTACGGCAAATTCTTTAATTTCGCTTACTCAATTACTAGGGTTTATATGATATCAATTTCGCTTTCTGATTTGAATTCCTTATTTGCTTGTTCGATTGAAGTTTTCTCTTCTCTTTCGTTGATATTTTGCTGAATTTGATTGTATATATTACTATTATTGCATGTAATTGTTGGCTATTTTGTGGTTCCCCAATTTGATGGTATATATTGCTATTATTGCTTGTAATTGTTGGTTATTATTGCCTGTGATTGCTTTGACATGAGTAGAATACAATCGCCATGACACGTGAAATCGAATAAATGCAAGTTTTGAACTTATGATACTTGGAACTTTGGAAGGGGTTTTGAAGCAGAACTTTCCTTGTCATCATAAACTGATTGCTGAGGAACTTAGGTAGTGGCCAATCTTGAATGGCTTTTATCGTCTTAGGTTGAAGGCAGTTAGTCTCTTAATACTACATGAAGGGTAATTTGTATTCATATTTTTATTTTCTCCATTATATTATTGATTTGCTGCCAAAATAATAATAATGATTTGGTTATTATAAATTTTGAGACATTGTAATTTGTTTAGATGATTCCAACAATCTTGAGCAATTGGGTTGATGTATATTGTATAATGTTCATGTGGATGTATTGGATGTGTTGTATTAGCTCTAATCCTTTGGTAGCTTATTCCCATCAAGTAGTTTGTCTCTAGACTGCCTTGAATCTGCTGCTCTTTTTTTTTCTTTTTTTTTTCTTTTTTTTTTCTGAAGACTGTAATGCAAAACTGAATGCTATTGAAGGCCAATCTATAGTTTTACTGCTAGACAGTTCATATGAGCAGAGAGCTTAGTCAGAATCTGATTTCCAACTCTGAATAAGGAGTTTATTATTTTGATGTTATTTGTGATACTAGTGTATATTGATACTATTGTATATTTTTTGGACTAGTTTTTCAAGATTTCTACAATGCCCCGACTTATGCGTTCCACAAGGAAGAGAAAGCTAAAACAAATACAACTAGTTATTTCAATGATTATTATTATTTAATGATGTATTGGATGTGGCATATGATGTGTGTTGTTACAATAAAGGGTGTTCAATTGAAAGAAAGAAAAAGAAACAAAAAGTTGCTACGAATGTTAGTTTTGAGAGGGCTTTATAAAGAGAGTGATGTGAAATGCAAGAGTGAGCTTCGCGTTAATAGAAGAACTTTCAATATTATTTGTGAGATGCTTAGAGACATTGGGGATTTGAGTGGAACAAAAAATATGTCACTTCAAGAGATCGTAGCCATGTTTTTATACACGTTGGCTCACCATAAGAAGAATAGGTCTATTGGACAATATTTCTTTAGAAGTGGAGAAACCGTGAGCCGACAATTTTACCTTTGTCTAAGGGCTCTTCTCAAATTACATGAAGTATTACTTTACAATCCCACACCAATATTGGATGATTGTGAAGATGAAAGGTGGAAATTTTTCAAGGTATTGGTCTTTTTTAAGCCCCTAAATTTTGCTAGGATTTTCTTATTTTTGATTGTATGTAAGTAATATTTTTTCTTATTTTTGTAGAATTGTTTAGGGGCATTAGATGGGACTTACATTAATGTAAATGTGCCTTCACAAGAACGACCAAAGTATAGAACAAGAAAAGGAACAATTGCTATGAATGTATTGGGTGTTTGTGCACCCAATTTGCAATTTATTTATGTTCTTCCTGGTTAGGAAGGTTCGGCCCATGATATGCGTGTACTTCGCAATGCTCTCTCTAGACCAAACGGTTTTAGGGTAACTCGAGGTAAGTGAAGCTCATTCTTTTGTGAATGTATAAGTTTTGTTAGTTTTGGTAGGTAGTAATCCTTTCCTTTAATAACTTTGAAGGTAATTATTATTTGGTTGATGCGGGATATACGAATTGTGAGGGTTTTCTTGCTCCATATAAAGGTCAAAGATACCATTTAAAAGAATGGACGGATCGACAACCCAAAAGTGTCGAGGAGTTCTATAACATGAAACATGCTAGGGCGCGAAATGTGATTGAGAGATGTTTTGGCCTACTTAAAGGAAGATGGAGTATTCTTATAAGTCCTTCATTTTTCCCTATAAGAACTCATGGACGTATCGTGATGGATTGTTGCTTATTGCATAATCTACTTAGAAAATGCATGCCTACCGATGATATAAACGAAGATGAATTGAATGAATCCGATGATGATTCCGAAAGTGATTCTGATGATGAAAGGGAATTTATTACAAGTGTTGCTACTTCAGATCATTGGACCAATTTTAGAAACAAATTAGCCCAAGATATGTTTAATGATTGGAGGGCGAGAGGTAGACATGGTCAATAGCAAAAAATGTATGATTTTTTTTTACCTTCGATTATATTATACATATAGATGCATTTTTTTTTGTTTTTGTGCATTTTAAAGCCACTGCCAATTTGAATCTGCCTTTTTGTTCTGTTCATTTCTAATCTGCCTTATGTTCTGTTTATTTCTAATTTGTCTTCTATTATTTCTAATCTGCGTTATGTTATTTCTAATTTGCTTAGGATGGAGGCTAGCAATCGAGGAAGAGGTAAAAATAAAAGGTATTGGACGTATGAAGAAGATGCGGTTCTAATAAGATATTTGCATGAGTTGAGTTGCGATCCGAAGTGGAAGTGTGAGAATGGGTTTAAGAATGGTTACATGAATAAGTTGGAAGAGATGATCAATGGTGTACTTCCTAATTGTGGCTTGAGAGCGGTTCCCCACATTGAGTCGAGGATCAAGCATTGGTCGGAGAAATATAGTGCATTTGCAGAAATGTTATCCACCTCAGGATTTGGATGGGATGCTGAAAAGAAATTGTTGCAAGTAGACAAGGTCGTGTACGATGAATGGGTGAAGGTATGAACTGCTATTTCATTCCTCTTTGTTCATTTTTTTCAATTACACTTTAGAACTGCTGATGGACAGTTCATATGACCTGAGAGAATTGATGCTCATAGTGAATATGAGAGAAGTAGGGAGAGAAGCAGTGTGTGTAAGGGAAGGGGGCAGGGAGGGGAATAGGTGATAGGGGAGGGGATAACTGATAGTTAAGGTTCTCGAAGTCCATCTTCACTGATTTGAGTTTTTGAGTTACCTTGAACATAACAGTCCCTTGTCTAGTTTGCACCCATGAATCCTCCACAACTTTACTGAAACTAGCATATTCAGCCCAAACATTGAAGAAGTTGATTTATTAATTTACTGTTTTAAGTTGATTTTATGATTTTGCAATTCTGAGTTGTTTGAAACAGATTGGTTCACAATGTGATTAACAACTTTGTCAAAGTTTGGTTGGGATTTATTCATTGTAGATGGAGTAATTGTATCTTGTTTATGATCACTTGACGGTGTGATTCTATTACTTTTTTTTTATAAGCTGTATTTATTTTAAAATTATTAAGCTGTCTTTGTTTTTGAATTTTTAGTTTTTGCAGCGATATGGGAATATGTAGGATAAGCAGAAAGTTTATATCTCAGAATCTAGTATGTACTGCTGCTGAAGCACTCTGCTACAGTATGTGTGGTTATAGTTGCTTGGTTCAATTCTGATTTTCATGTTTTGACTTGTTGCATTCTCTTATATGGCAGACTCATAAGAAAGCTAAAGGGTTGTTTGGAGTTCCATTCATTCACTATGAAACTCTTGCGGAGATATACGCAAAAGACAAAGCTACCGGAGATGCAAGTGAGTCGTTTGTTGATGCTATAGAAGAAATGGATCAAGAGATTGATAAGCAACCATTCAATGTCCAGAGTGATGAAGAAGATGATGTGAGTTCTACTCATTCGGACACTTATTCTTCTATAAGTCAATCCGGAAAACGCCCCATGAAGATAGAGGATGATCATATAACTCCTTCAAAAATGGAAAAAGTGAAGGCTTCTACAATTCATTCTTCCGCAAGTGATTCTACTACTCAATCCGGAAAAACCCTCTATAAAGGCAAATGAGACTAAGGTGAAAGGAAAGAACAAGGTAAATTTGAAGAGTTTGTGTAGGAATGATGATGATGATTTGGTGGCCTCCCTCCGTGATTGTTCCAACAATTTTGGGAAGATATTTGAAAATATCAATGTTAATCTCGGGACTATGGCTAGTGCATGGTCTAAAGCGGAAGAAAGGGAGCAAAGGATGGATGAAAAGGTGAACAAGGTATTGGACGAGGTGATGAAGTTAGATGGCATTTCTCCATCCGAAGCTTTAGAGGTTGCTACTATTCTCATGGTGGAAGAACATAAGCTTCGCATCTTCTATCAAGCACCATTAAATATGAAAAAACAATATGCAATTGATCTTCTTAAGAAGTAACAACTTGAGCAATGTCTTTGTTTTTTTGTTAAACATATGCAACTTGAGCAATATAGGTTATGTCTTAGGATTATTCTTATGATGATTGACATATTATTAGTCAATGTTTGGATAATTAATGAGTGCCAACTTTGCTTTATATATTTATATGCAATACAAGTTATTTATTTATTTTTATCTTTTTTTTACCGTAAAATATGTAGCATAGACAATATTGTATTATTCTTTCTTATTTTTCATTTCCGTTTGTTATACCAAACAAGAGGAAATGGAATGGTGATAACTGTTTCCGTTTCCTTTGATGTACCAAACAACTAGTAAGGGTAACACTATTTGTTACCCTTTCCCCTCCTAATTTATTTCCATTCCGTTTCCTATACTAACTCCATACCAAACACCCCCTAAAACAATTCAATAGGAAATTATCATGAAATATCAATAATCAATAATAGTCAATCATCAATGCATCAATTAACCAGATTGTAAAGGGCTATCGCTACGTATTACAATCACAGAATTAATCTACCGGTATTAAATCTCATCTCTCGAATCTCGACTTAACCATTTATAAATTTATCCGCCTATTGAAACCAGACCTAAACATCAATTCTCATCTCTCGAATCTTGAATCAATATTGTCAAACTCATGCATAAAAGATAGGCCTAATCTAGTCACAGCGCAATAAATCAATCAATAGGAAATTAATCTAGCATTGATAATTAACAACAACAAATTACCCCTTCATATTATTTATTAGATCCCCATAAACCCTAGAAATAAAACTACTCACACATATTAAAAACTAAAAAAATCAAAGCAATAAAATAAGACATGATTAAAAGAATAGAATAAATAACTAAGATTAAGAGAAGAGGAATCGTTACAAAAATAAATCTGGAATTAAGAGTAGAATTAAGAACAAAGGTTTAGAGAGAGAATTCTAAGAGAATAATTAAGAGAGTAAAGAAAGTAAAGAGGAGAAGAAGAAGAGGTACTAAAATCGTATTACGGAGGAGTATTTATACTCCGTACAAAATACTAAATTAAAACAAATTAAAACTACGTTAAACATCGGGCGGCTCTCTTGGGCCACCATTTGGACTACGATTGGGCTCCAATTCTTCGGGCCAATCTGGGTTTCCTCTTTGGGTCTTGAATACTCGGTCCAAATGAGCCGGTATCACCTACACCGAGCCCTTAATCACCGGTTCGATGGCTCTAACCGGCCCTGGGCTATAAACTCTGGTCGTGCTTCTCCAATGTTTGTGATTGCTCCAAAATATCTCGGGAAAATACTCCAAAAGCATAAATCCCTGCAAAAGTCAACCAAATCTACGAAAACACTAGAAAACACCAATTAGTTATAAAAGTGGCTCTAAAGAGCCAAAAACACTACTAATTACGACCAAGGGACGGGGGTAAAATAAAATATAAAATAGACACATCAAACCCCCCGGTCGCTGTTACGGGGTTAACGAGGTCGATACCCAGGCTACCGCCTACCCTCTCGATCTGCCCCGCTATCCGTAATTGTTGTTTCCCGGCTGAGGCGCTAGGAGTTGAGGCTGAGGTAGATTTTTTGATTTTGTTGAGAACGGAGGGGGTCTCCTCCCTAGCCCGTTTGAGTTGTTTCTCAAACATTTTTCCAACCTCTCCTCCTTGCGGAAATAACCAAGTCAAAGTTAGCATCCGGGAGAAATAATTTTTAAGATTGATTTACGAAAGGGTCAGGCGTTTATTACCTTGACTTTGACCTCAGCCCCAGCTTTCTCCGCAAGCTCCTTGCGGATGACTGTAGAGGACCGCTTGGGAGTCTTCTCTGTCTGTAACATTTTCAATGCTTCTTCTGCAAAAAGAAAGAAATTGATCAGCATCATAAATCAATTTTGGTACAAAAGCACTACAGGCATATATAAACTCAAGCGCATACGTTTGGGGAACATATGCCCTAGCCTGCAGGCGGCTAGGAAGCACTCATCCTTGAACCAGGTGCTTTTGGGGATCTAGTTCTTGGGAACTTTTATTGTTTCCCTGGTTGACAAGGTCACATCTGTGAGGCCAAAAAAGTCTGCCTCAATTATCTTGTCAAAATCCTCCTCAGGGATTCGGGGAAGAGCGCACTTCCGGCCCATCAAGTCGGGCTTCTTATTGTACAGACAATATTCATAATTCTCCCGTCTGCTTAGAGCTGACATCAGGTAGAACCTGTCTTTCCAGCCGTCGAATTTAGAGACCTTGTCCAAGGTCATCATGTATTGGGGATGAGTGGTTAGAGTATACCACGCCCTCCAGCCGCCTGGGCTTCTGCTAAGATAGTGCATACTAGCAAAAGCCTCCCAGCCGGGGTTAAGCCCCTAGAACTCGCAGGCGGAAACATACCCCATAATGTTGTCCAAGAGTTGGGGGTAAGTTGCCAGACTCCGAGGCCGTAGCCTCTCATAATTGCCTTCACCGCCTGGTGAAAAGGGAAGCGAATACCAGCCTTGAACGCCCCCTCATAACAGCCGAAATAGATGTTGGCGTTTCTTAATCGTCCTCCCAGGCGATGGTGCCATTCTTAGGCAGCACCCAGATCCTATTGTTGGGGTTTGGTGAGTCCGACTAATCGCGGAAACAAACCCAAGAACAAGACCGCACTCGCAATAAATGAAACCATAAACATAATTAAATTAATCACAAGATTAAGATAAGCTAATTACCTTTGACGCGTGCTTCGCTCCAAAATAAGCTCTTACTTGAAAGCTTCAAGTCCCGCTCACACGGAGACCTCCAACGAAGTCCACCCGCACCAACAAAACCGACTAGGTCCAATGTCTTGGGGTTAGCAAGACTCGACCAATAAAACCCGAGTAATTATATTGAGTTCAAAGGTTTTCACTAATTGTGATGCCTTTTTCAACTCTTACTCAAGCAACATTCCCAATGCCCATACTTGGGTATTTATAGGAAATGAGGGGAGTATCATTTACTCTCCCATCAATGTGGGATAGTATGATTTTTCCATTTTATTGTAAATCTAAAATAAAATTAATAATCAAGCTAGTAATAAATCAGCAAGTGGCAAGCTCATGTGAGTGGTTAAGTGAGGACCACTTGGAGAAGGGGGGAACCAAACTTGCTCCCCACGCCCTCTCCCATAATCGGCCACCTCACTCCACACACACTCAAGGACCACTAGCCACATGGCACCCAACCTCGGGCACCAAGGCAGCAAAGGTGGGCTGCCATGTGCTGCTGTCTGTGGCAGCCACGCCCAGGAAGCCCAGCAGGCCTAGCACTCGCATGCGGCCTACCAGGCGCTGCTGGCCAGCAAGCCCAGTATGCTTGTGCGGGCTGCTGCTGGCCTTGTGCCTTGGCCAGCGCTGCTAGCTGCTGCAGCTTGTTGTGGCATGGCTTGCTAGCCATTGCGCGCACCAGGCTGCGCCTAGCATGCTAGCACGCACTAGGCAGCGCCTAGCCTTGCGATGCTAACATGGGTGCGCTAGCACGCACCAGCCAGCTTAGGCTCGGCTTAGTGTGCATGCTAGCCACCATGCTAGGCCATACGCCCTTAGCACTCAGTTTGATTGGGCATTCCGATGCTAGGGGTATTTTGGTCTTTTGTTGATTTATTACTATTTCTCGTCTCGTCTTTCACTATTTTTCGACTCGACTTCCGACGCTCGGTTTCGACGCTCTAAGCTCGAATTTCCGACGTCTAAATAAATATTACTCGGTCGACTCATTAATTCCTTCCGAATTAATTTGTCGGTTCGGCTTGTTGAATGCTTGGGTGTGACCCGAAGGGTTCAGTCAAGATTAAGCTGTAATATTAATTATTCATTAATATTACTGATCGGAAGCGGCCTCCACCCAGGCATTCTAATCACTTGACCTCACTGAATATATTAGCTTTCTAATAATTCTGAACCCACTAACGGAATAGTACACTTGTTCGAAGGACACCATTCCTTTCAATCTCCCACTTGTCCTTCCGGACAAGTGCGCATTTTGTGTACAGCCATTTTCCTATGTCGCTTAATGTCTCTTCATGAACTATAAGGTAAGATTTGTTTTGTCATCCTTATTACGTCTAGAAGTGTTTCCCGATTCCGAGTCCGACTGTCAATAAACAGATGATTTCTAAAATCCATCCGAGCACGGCCATGCATTTTTACAGTCTCGCTCCACGAGAGGCCTTGTATACAACAAAGACATCTTCCCTATTTTAGTAGGGGGACATTCCCAGTCTTGTAATGTAGCTCCTCTTACTGAGAGGACCTAGTCGCCCGAGTGTTGTCGTTATAATCCCCTATTACGGCAGACGTTTAACAACATCAAAGCGAACTAGTACTCAAACAAGAGAACTCACAATACTCATGGTCGAGGAAATAGGTTCCGATAGCTATAATGAGAAGTATACTTATGACAAATTTATAATTTCTTAAAGTATTCTCATAGGTCGATCCAGTATGGTTATAAACCAATACATGTGCAAATGATTTATGACAATCATGTCCTTGTAGCACATGAAACGGTGCTATAAATCAGACTACACACTAATCTCAATTGGTCATTAATCGTCCATCGTATAAATGACCTTGATTAGGGATAATTTTTTATTATAATATTCAATGTTCACTTAATAGGTGTTTCCTTACC